AAAAAAAAAAAAAAAAAAAAAGAGAAAGATGAGCAACAGGAGTGTCTTTGCCGATAATACGGCCGCTGACACGACCGCAGAGAGGAAATATGCGACTGAACGAAACTAACCAACCACCGAAGTTAACCAAATATTAATTGTCCCCTGTTCCCTCTTGCTCCGACTTCTGTTTCGCCTTCTGATTGGCTCTCTGCATTGGCACGTTGGTGACTAACTCGAAGTCGACATCACACGAGCACCAGCGAACATCGTACCTCGACTACCTCGAAGACCGAAGGTTGGGACAAGGTCGATCCTGCAGCACCGCCAAAGCGGTCCGCATTCGACAGCTTCAAAAGGTGACGCTACAGAGAAAAAAAAAAAAAACCAACGATCACTCTCTCTTTCTTCTTCTTTTTTTTTTTTTCTTTTTTGTTCTTGAATGTCCGAATAATTCCCCGATGTCCATATTTCCCTTGGTAGAGGTCCGCCATTTTGTTCTGTTATATTTTACCTTAGAAATTGGCAGCTCTGTGTTCGATGTTTTCGCGGTTTTAATTGACTTTTAAAGGAATTGGAAATTAAACGATTTTAAATTTTTCTTTCGTCCATCACTGTTATCGAAGAAATTAAGAAGAGACTAAAAATTTGTTTTACACACTGTAGTATTATTTATATGTTACTGTGTTTTAGACATTTTTTTCAATATTTTTTTTGCACACCACTTTATGCATTCAGTATTTTCTAATTTCCCACAAATGCATGAAAACCCGCAATCTAATGATTAATTGATATCACGGATAAGTAGTTTTAAATTAGTATCATTGTTGCGAGGTTAATGTTACTCTCGAGTCGCGTGTGTGCTGCATATTGAAAGTTCGAAGTTAGCTGGCTAATTGCACCAATATCGAACCTGTTGCTAACTTTACTATTAATTCATAGAGTTAGCTCTTCGATACGTATCTTTGCAAATTTGCAATTTTCTAAATTTGACAATTCTAAATTGATGGCTTGAAAAAGAAATTACAGTTTGTTACATGTAATTCATTGTAAAAAAAAAAGGAAAAAAAAAGATAAAGACATTCAGATACAAGTAAGATACATTCTTATTTTCTAATGAAATGTTTTCTTAACATTCTTCTTCATTTTATTTTCATAATATTTAATTTCGTAATTATATGGGAATACTATTAAATAAATAATTTTATAGTCATTGTATGTACTTCAATTAGTAATTCTAGTTTGGTAATTCTCAAGTAGTATCTACGAGTCACTATATTAGTTTACAAACAAATTACTAAAATTCAATATATTTTATTTTGTATTTAAGTTCAAAAATGAGACGATCTAATCATAAACATTTGCTATCGCAAATAACCCGATGATACCAATTACGTGGTGGTTAATCTGTCGATTGATGCGAACTTTCGCAAATGTATAAATTTTCTCTACTCAACTATTCACCGATGACTCGATTATATCGTTATCGAAACAGCTGCCTCGCGCGTTCGCTTTCCCTATGTATGTATGTATGTATGTATGTATGTACTTACCATATTCTCCAATTACCTACTCTTCTTTCTCGCACCACTAACTAACTATAAGCCACCATCAGCAACAAAAGCACTGTACAAGGTAATGGGCACAAGGATTATTCACGAGTAGATCGATCGGCAAAGAATTAACTGCTCCGGTGAATGGATTAACCCAAGCCCTCGTAACGTATAGTGATATTAGAATAATGATCGCTTTTCCATGCAGTTTCTCGCGTGTTTCATGAAATAACGCCATCGAGACTGGCGAGCGTGTGGCACGCTATAGCAATCGAGTTGCTTGACACGCCGATAGTCAGCTGAAAATAAGTAGATGCGCACGATCTTGGTCGTTCGTCGTGAGCCAGTTTTCAATGTTGTGTTTTGTTGCTATTGTTCGTCGCATTGTCACCGCCATCCTGTGTAGGGTAGTAGTGATCGCCTCGATACCGATACTATTGATGATATTCGATCAATTCGATACCAAGGTATTCAATGAGAAGCGTATCGATACGCGTCGAAACTTCGAGTAACTTGGTATCGGTTGTCGATACCGATTGAGTGCTGAATCAATACCAAATTAGATAACACTGTATGGAATCGAAAATTCCACTTGACAATCGGCGAAGTTACCGATACTCTAATATTTTGTTAAAATTCCAATTTGACACGGTATTCTTGAAATTGTCGATCGAAATTTTAAACCGATTGAACTTTGTAAAAGAAACATCGTGCAACCAATCGTGCTCGTTTCAAAGCGTGAAACGTCTACTTTTGCACTACTGAATTTGCTTCTCACAAAGGTTTTTCCACAGTTCATTCCGACCTAGCTGAATAAAGATACTTTCTCTCGAAGATTTCGCAAAGATTTGCAAAACGTCTTTGCGAATTACTGAAAAGATCTTATCGTAATTGATCATAATCCCTGAGAAATTTGTTGCACAATTTTTTTTCAACACAAAGTTACGAGAGTTCAAATTAATCGACGATTTATAATTTTCGTATCCAGTGTATTGTAAGTATCGAAAAAAATTGTTGCCTACACGTGTCTTTGACAATGGTAAAATCGATAGTATTAATACGGTATCAGTCCCATCACCAAGGTAAGATTCTGTTTCAAACTATGGTACCCAGATCACTCGTAGGCGAACGAGTCCTCGTCGAGTACACATTTGTATTGTTCTCGATAGCCATTGCATCGTCGTCGACGCATCTACACATATCTTCGATTTATATCTTAATTTTTTTTTATTTTTCTTTTTTGTTTTGGCTTTTTATTTGTCCATCGTCCAAACGTTCACAATTGTCCCGTGGTAAAAGTTACAAAGACGAAACGAACGCGTGCACGATCGGTATGTAATTAATCGAATCGTTCGTTGCGTTGTACCTTTCAGCACGACGACGCAAAGCTCGACGCAGAACAGCAGTTCCCTGAGTCCGCAGCACGATTCAGCCTGGCTCGACGGCCTGAACAGTCCACTCATCCAGGATGAAGGTGACAGCAAAATGCTGAAGCTTCGATTCGATGTTTCCCAGTACACGCCGGAGGAGATCGTTGTCAAGACCGTGGACAACAAGCTGCTGGTGAGTACCCTTTCGCGTTCTTCTCGCCGATCAGAGTGCCTTGTTAGATCTTATTCACTTTGTCATGGGAAACATCGTACTCCCAGACGCGTAAAAGTGAAAGCGACGAGTTTTCGTTCATGGATCTATTGTACGGATGTGTCCGCGGGATTTTAAAGAGCTCGATTGCATGCCTAGTCTGTTTAATTTCATCACGTTTCTTGTATAATTCATTTGTATAATTTGAAAGTAAGTTCCGGACGTTATAATGTTAGATGTCTTCGCGATAGAGTTGCAAAAAAAAAAAAGTGCAAATAATGTATTTAATGAATTAATTACGATCATTATGGAATGATTCGTTATGGGTTTAGGAATTATTCAAAGATTCATCTCTCTCTTTAATCTCATATTCGAAGTGATCTTACTATCAAATACAGTTTATGTGAAATATAAGGGGAAGCCACGTTGATTTTTATGTTGGCTGGATAATCTGAAAAATTGTTGACTACTAACAACAGATTTGAATTTAGATTTAGAAATTAAATAAATAAATAGATTTGTTTCGGATATAATTTATTTTTCTTTCGTATATTGAGAAATATATGCTGAGGGAAATGACACATGATTAAAATTTCACCCCAAGAGCCAAAATTTCGAATAAATCTATATACAACGAATATTTAAGACTTATATGAAATAAATAAATTTAAAAGCAAATATGTTGTGCGATAGAGAATATTTTAAAAGAACGACCTACAACAGTTGAAGTTTTATTCCAAGAAGCGAGATTTCACATACTTAGACCAACTCCTAAAACTAACAAACGGGAATTTATTATGACTAATTCATCGCGACACGCGCATATTTTGCGTTCTAGCGTCGCTTGTTGCACAACTTGTTGGCAACTAACGAATCTGGCCCACCATATTATGCAATCGGTGCCGCATATGCAGGCCACGGTGGCTCCTCTTGAAATTTCATCAAAAACAAAATTAATCAAACGATCCTACATTCTCCAACTATCCTTTCCTATATAATCTCTCAGAAGTAGTAATTTATCGGAGTAATAATTTATTTATTAACGCGTGTTTCGAACGAAAGACGAAAGTATACCGCGCACGCCCGACCAGGAAGTGGCGGAGAATTTTACGCCGGGTTTTACCGGCACTCGCGCCTTTTTACGAACAATATGGAACATTCTAATTGCTCTTGTTACATCACTTCCCGGCAGGAAGTCGGCTCCACCGGTTCAACCGGTGGTAACTCGCCTAAGGGCAATTCTTGTTAGTTAAAACCGACGCGCGTCTTTGAGCAATTATGTTCGCCACTAGTCGCGCAGCGGACTCAGTCTGTAGAAGAACTGTACTTCTCTTCTTCTTTTAGAAAAATTTTCTCAGCGCCTAGACTGACCATTTAATGTTTAATTAAATGTATAAGGAACGTTTTAATTCTTGATTTTTATTTATTTATATAAATAGGGGATGAAATCTTCGATCACAAAGGTGAATGATGAAACGAACGTTTCGGAGTATATTTTGATTTTTAATTGTAGCTTTCGATTTTTTTATTTATTCATATCAATACGGTGATAAAAAGGACGTACAACGAGTGTGCAAACTGTGGGATATATAAAATTTTATTTCGTCTTTTGGGAAGGACGCAGAGTTTCGTTTATCTTCTCCGGCTTCTTGAATTCTCCTTTTTAACCAGCCGAGCCATTTCGTGGCACGCTATATACATTTCTTACCAGTGTCCAAATATTTGACTATTCTCGCCACTCCTACGTATCATACGGTTCTTCTACCGTACGTTCTTGCATACAGAACACCAAAATATACCTACATTCGAATAAACAATAATTCTGTAGAAATTGTAGAACGAGAAACTCGGGCTATTTTAAATAAACAGATACATTCGCAAGATACAACAACGGTCCTCGGAGTAGAAAGTAAATTTCTGTGAAATAAACGTTTATTAAAGTTTGTTGCAAAAAAGTATTGGATCCCTGCTGTATTTAATTAATCTTTCATCATAATCTTTTTGCATAGCTAAATACACGTGTAACTTGAAGATTTTTATCGCATGTCTCATTAGAAACGGCAGGTTTTATTCTAAATCGACGGATAAGACACGAGGGATAAGACAAAGATTTCCGACTCGATCGAGCAAAAAGTAGAAGAATTCGCGCAGGAAGTCGGAGCCAGAATTTTCCCCGAAGTTTGCGTGACGCGCGCGTGCGTTTAAGTTTCTCCTCTCTGGCCGACGTTCCTGTCGACCCGGACGGAAATAACTCGCGCCAAAAATAAGTTTACGGTGCTCGTCACGCCGCGACGGCTTGGAATAATGTTCGGCCATTGTGAGCACCCTGTGCGATCATTCTGTGACAATATGTCATCTATCAACCTAAATTTCCTTGGCTTTCCGACGACTTTGTTACCGGAATGTCTTGCAAGTTTTTGGACATGGAATACCTTGGACTTGCTTAGATTTTTTCCCATCTGAAATCCGTTGAAACAATCTGCAATCTTCCAACGAGAGTAATTCAAGAAGGTGGGGAATTAACGGAGCACGAAAGAGGTGTGAACGCTTTCGCGGAACGCGGGTGCAAAAATCGAACGACGCCGTTATGCAAACTCGGGAGGTATAAGGTCGTTGCACCGTCGTAATAGTCTGTCGGAGTGTAATGGAAGGAAGATCAAAGTAACGGAGGCTCGTGTATAGTACGTAGGTACTATACGCCCACGAATAGGGACGGCATTATTCCGATTTCCTCGCTAAACAGTTGCTCTGCCTTTGATAAAACGTCCCCCTCTGTTTCTTTCGTCCCTCGGATCGGAGACTAGCCTTCTTAAGGCCAGTCAACGTAGTCCTCGTCGAAGTTTCAATTGAATTCTCTTACGTCTATGTCTCTTGTTATTTTAATAGACAGAGGTTTATTTTGGACACGTTTTATACGTTTTATGTCTCATAAATGCGACAAAACACCTGGGCTCTTCACATTTACCGCGCAATCGGTAAACATACAACTCGACACTTCGAGTTCCGTCGCGATCTTGACTCATTACGATGCTTTTTTCGGTAACGAGCGCGATCGTTCCTTAACCGGTCCCGCGCGACACCGGGGGAATTTTAAAGGACAGGCAGGAGGCCGTCCTCGAAACAGGTTGGCCGCGGTTTTATCGTGGTCAAGGTCCGGCTCCGTGGATTCAGGTCGGTTCAGCTCGCGTATCACGGTCCTTAAAGGGCTGGCCCAAGGACACGTTCCGAAGGATGAGCACGCCGGACCCCGAGCGAAGAATGCGATCTCCGCTCATTGTGTGCCGATCATGGTGACGTCAGGCTCGCTCGATACAGTACGTCTCGGATAAATAGGAGCGTAGGACCGGTTTTATTCAGCGGTTTTATTCAAACGAGGAACGCGCGCCGCAGCTCTGCCACTTGGACGAAACGATTGCGAAACGCCTCGTTCGTTTGCCCGTTTCAGGCAAACTGGGTCGCCTCCCTCGAAGAATAGAACCCGAGATCGATTTTCAATGGCCATCGAAACTTGGCGTTTGATACCTACTCGGTTGGTTTAATAGCCAGTTGTTTTCCAGTTGTCGCGTGCGTGTTTGAAATTATTTTCCAACAGCTCCAGACGTTTATGGCCGATGCGTGTTGGTCGTTGAAATTTGGGTCGCTGATGAAGTTATTAAGAAAACACGGCCTTTCCTTTTTCGGTCAAGGAGAGTGTGCCATTAGACAGTACGGAAAGGAGTCTCGCGTTACGTGGTGACGCTTTAATTGACTTTCGAAAGCTTCGAAATCTCGTTCTACGCGTTGCCGCTGTTCGCGGAAAGACGGAGTTCGTGTGCCTGAACATCGAAACATCGAAAATTTTCACGGGCTATATTTAGCCTGTGAGTCACGCGGTGACTTGCGACTCCGCACGTTCGAAATTTTGGTCGAGAAGAATCGGAAAATTTTCTGTCGAGTGTGAAACATATGCGAGCACATGTTTTTCTTTGACGAGAATCGAACAATCTTCGTCGACAAACGCTAGAAGGAATATATATTTTATATTTACCTTGAGATCGTATATTTATTGGAATTTTATTACGGTGTTTTGTCATGGTTTAACGTTTCTATTTTGCGATGCAAGATTTCCATTGGGGGAAATCTCGGAGAACTTTCATCGCGATAACATCGAGCAAATCCGCTGCAAGACAATTAAGTGATTAATTAATTGTGACATTCATGCTTTCGTAGTCTCTGGTTTCCCCATTCTAATTTTAATCCAATTGTGTCCAATGAAATGAACTTTTGCTAGTCGACTTCAATTATCTCGCAGAATTCGTACAAACGAAATTCTATATATGGACCATTACCTCGAAATTGATGTAAATCCGTCTTCATTTGCTTTGCGATATTAAAGTGTCCCGTTTCAAATTCAATTAAATCAAATTAAATTACACGACCATCCAGCAGCGAAATTTTAATTGGATCGGAACAAACGAATACTTTAATACATTAAATTACTAAAACGTTCGCATTTAAATGTACGTAAATTTTCCTTTTCTTTCCCGATATTCTTAGAAGATCGATGATAGCAAGCAATGCTTGTTTACGGAACGTCGAATCTCGGTTGGAATTCGGTTCAGGACGCTTCAGAATTCTGAATCGAGTGTCGTTAAAGCTTGTTGGCCGCGGTTTGCGTAATCCTCGCGGATCCGGTAAGACGATCCACGTGTTGGAAAGCTTAGATCCGCGGCAGAGTTGAATTACCAGAGCCCCGCATCCATCGGTGTGTTCCTTCGTTTTACCATTTCCCCCAGGTTTCCTTCTGTCTAGGGTTACCTGCGGCTCGACTGCTCGTTCGCTTTCCTCCGATTCGCGCTGCCTCTCGTCTTTTACGACCAGCAGCCCGATCGATATCGCGACCACCAGCCGAGGAACACCGAACGGAGCAGCATTCAACAGCCACGCCGGAAGATATTTTCCGCTATTCTTCGGTTCTGTGCTCCGTCTATCGATTTGTCGACGTAGCAATCGAAAGATTCTTGCTTTTAAATATTCCTGAGAATTTTTACACGCTCGCTGAGAGCTCTGAAGGAAAGTCCTAAATTCGAGAGAATCTCAGCGACATTGCTATTAATTTGTCAAACGATCAATTTCTAATACTTAATATCGCGAATATTAAATCGTACGATGATGAATGATTCGTGGCGAAGTAGAAGCTTCACGCTTTGAAGTGTGAGACCAAGTGGATGATCTTTTCTTACAAAGTTCTATCAGTCACTTCAAGATAGGCTCAAATATTGCAAAATTAAGAGTTCAGGCTCGCTTCGAAGCCTGATTGAAAATTTAGGGTTATAAACTCGAGCGGATTAAACGTCGGACTTGTTCGAAGATAATCTTCGAAACCATCGAGGTGAAAGCTTCGTTCGAATAACGCGATCGATCGGATGGGTGAATGTCAAACGACGTGGTCGCGTTTCCTGTAATTGTATTAAATTGACAGAAGACTGCTAGTAATTTGAGAGCGTGTGTAGTACTTGTCCAGAGGAAATTTTCTCTTCGTCGTGTGATATTAAGGACAGCTTAGTATTGCAGCCACCTATTGATCTTGTGGCGTGTGGTGTTGTAACAG